CCTGTGGCTGCGCAGAGCCACTTACTTTCCCCCCAGACTATAATGTTTTCTCTGATGCTCCTTTCCTTAGGTTAAGCTGCCTCTCAAACTCCCCCTCAAATAAACTTTTCACGATTTCACAAGTCAGATAAAAAACAATGGTAAAGGAGTAAAGAGGACATGGAGGTTAGGCTAGAAAAGGCGTTCAGAGAAACTCAGTGGGGCACAGGGTGGCAAGGAGGGTGCACTTGTAACCCAAAAGGCCCAAGCTGGAAGGCCTTAGGGAGGTCACTTTCATCCTGGGCTGGGTTTTTACCTCGTGACTAATGCCACAGTAGCGCAGCTAGAGAGAGGCTGGCAGCAGGCCTTGTCCTGTGGGTTTTGGGTGGGCCTGGGGAGGACAGAGGGGTGATGGGCTTCCATTCCTGTGAGCCCTTAGAAAGAATGAACCAGGAACCAAACTCCTGTCAGCTCCAATCTTCGGATGACACAGAGGGCCTTTGTACCCTTCCCCCATACCTGGTGACCCCCATCCCACCACAAGGGCTGTCTATGGGCCCTGTTCCCCAACAACCCACCCATCAGTCTGGAACATGGAGCACAAAATCATGCAAGAGCTGCCTGCCACCTGCGGGTGCCAATCACCAGACCCACAGCGCCCTCTGTGCTCCTGCAAAGATGTAAGTTTATGAAACTTGGTCGAGGGCTCAGGAGCGTAGGGAAGCAATGACCCAATTTACTGATCCTCTATGTCTGACCTTCACCTGTGCGCAGCAAGGCCCCCACACCAGGATGGGGCTCTCCTGCCCAATTTTCCCAAAGAGCAGCACACACAGCCTCCCTTATCTACCAGCCAATCAATCACCATCTATCAGGCACCTACTGTGTGCCCAGCACTGTGCTGAGTGCTGGAAGGGGTCTCTCAGGCCAGTCTATCCAGTGACGGTCACCACTGAGGTTGGGCCCTGCCAGCGTCACAGATGCCAGTCAACCTGGGAGCACAGAGCCTCAAACCACCAGACAGAGGATCTCCTTGGGGGGCCCTTCAGTCAATTCTCTCCCACTGAGCACCCAAAGGGCACAGGCTAACAAAACAGGCTTCCTGGCCATTTGGTGACACTTCTCAAAGCATTTTCATCTATGTGAGGTCCCCCGTGGTCCTCACAACCCTGTGAGGTCAGTAGGGGGGAGGGTCAGTTAGTGGTTAAGTGACTCATCCAAGGTCATACAGAATTATGGCAGAGTCCATGGTTTTCTTTTTTTCTGTAAACCCTTCCTCTAGTGTTCCACATTATGCTCCTTTTCAACCTCCCCATAAGAGTTGCCTCTGGCTTCCCCACACAGCTTATTTAAGTTAGAGAACAATTCTTTCATAAATTGAGAGACAGGTGAGAAATGGTGATAGCTTTAGGGGACCAGGGTTAGCCTGGAAAAAGGGGTTTCAGGCATACATAGAAATTCAGGACCAGGAGGACCCTGAAAATACAGGTCAAAGCTTGGCCCCAAATAAGAGACATGAGAATGTATCACCTGCCCTTCTCTGTACAGGTGGGGGCCCAAAGGTAGGGAATACATTCTTTGTTATTAGAGATAAGGTAAAAACAAAGGTCAGATAGGAAAAAAAAGTGATAGAAAAAACAAAATTATCAATTAAAAAAATAGAATGGAGAAGGTCAAAGCAGGGAGGGTCTTTAGACCACAAAAGACCGGAGCCAGCAGGGCCCTCGGAGAATATCTAGTCCAACGCACTCCTTTAATTAAGGAAACCAAGACCCAGAGGAGAATCCAGGACTAGAGCTCAGGTCTCCTGACTAAATCTGCTGTTCTTTTTACAAGGCCCCCACTCTTAGCTGCCAACACCCACACAGAGTCAACTCCTGTTGAAGTCAGGCTTGGTAAGACCCCAGAAAAAGCCCCAAATGCCAAGGGAGAACCAAGGTATACTGGGTATACTGAAGGTGGTAGATGGGGATGGCACCCAAAAGAATGGCTGACACACCTGAACAAACCCAAACTCACTTGTCTCTGGACAAGACTTGGAGAACTCCAGATAAAAAGAGCCAGGGCAGAGAGAAGAGTGAGGCAGCGTGCTGGTGATGGTGGCCAGGGACACGTTGTCCGTTGGCCAGTAGGCATTGATGGTGAGATGCATCACAACAGAGGGAGGAAGGATGGAGGAGGACAGTGGCATGACCACCTGGGAGAGACCCTGACAATGAGGGGCCTTGTCGACAGCTACAGAGGCTCTGCCCACCACTTCTACCCATCGCGTTGCACCTAATCTTCCCCAAGGGCAGGTCAGATGCCTGCGGAGTTGTACAGAAATGATAGAAGACCATTCTCTGGGTGGAAAATGCTAAACAAACTGTGATGGGGCTAAGGCAGGAAGAGAAAGGTCTCACTGATCCTCCTCCTGGTTTCTTATAAGCTAAGTTGTAGGGCCAGGGATGGTGAGCCTTTAGAAGTCAGGCCCGAATAGAGGCCTCCAAATCAATCCCCAGGGAATTTGTAGAATGGGGGGCTAACACACCAGGGTAATAATTCTGTCCTCAAGTATGCCAGGGGTTAATAAGGAGGTGACTTTTAGGATATATCCCAGGGAAAAGGAGAGAAGTCTGAGGAAAAAAAACAATGACATGTTGTGAAAGCCTAATAGTATCCCCTGCTGGCAAATCTGGAGACACGGAATCATAAGAAATGGGGGACGAATGGTACAAAACGAGGCCTTTGATTGTACAATCAGCAGAATTCCCCAGCAGAAGGCCTAAAGAGCAGCAACCCTGGGGTGGAATGGAGAAGGGAATGATCACGGAGAAGGCTCTGCCAGAACAGGGATAAGAATCCTTTTCAAAGACGGTGGGAGCGTGTGTTTAAGCACTCACTGTGCACCAGGAATCTAGTTAGGTCTCGGGGATCCGAGACAAAAGGAATCCCTCCCAGAAAGGTGCCCAGGCTTTCCCATCCCCGTGGCAGCAGAACCCTCTGGAGGTGGTGTGTGCTCCAGTGGGGAGGCTGGCTTTTTTCCATCTGAATCTTCAGCTCCAGGCACAGAGTAAGCACTTAATAAAAGCTTTTTCAATCATTCCTTCATTTATCCATTCACTCACCCACTCAGCCAGCTGGGGATTAGCAGGCCACTTGAGTGTGTGCTGGGGCAGATGTGTTCCCAAGTACCAGGTGACCTGGGTCTGGCTGCTAAAATGAGCGCTTCTGCTAGTGGTCAAAGATCATCATCTCCCAGGAGCAAGAAAGCAACCAAAGAGACCTTCCCCAGAAAGAAGATGCCAATGACAAGATGGACTTTACAGAGTGAGGTTTCACAGGCAGGAATGGGGCCAAACAAGTGGCCTGGGGACCCTGGGGGCTGACAAACTCAGGGGAAGATCCCAATTGTTGGTCTCCCCTCGACGAGACGGTCTGCTTAGTTTCTGACCTACCCACCCCAGTCAGGCTTTAATTTTCTGACTACAGGAAGATGCCAAAGATGGCATTTGGCCTTCCTCCTGTTCTTCTCAGGGGCCTGGGGAGACAGAAGTCAGGACCCATCCAGCATGGACCCACAGAGGGGTGAAGGGCGGATGGTACCAACTGCCCTGCCCTGCTCCACTGGGATCCTGGGATTCAGATCTGCAAGGGAACTTAGGAGGTCATCTACTCCACAGTGGAGGCGGCCAAGGCCCAGAAAGCTTAAGAGATTTGTCTGATGGCATACAGCCAGTGAGAAGCAGTGCTGGGATTTGTACCCAGGCTCTCCCACTTCACACTCCATCACTGCCAACCTTGTAGGGGCTGAGAGGAACTGGCCAGTGAGCTCAAAGGGGGTCCATCCCGGAGTCCCTGCTGGGCCAGAGCAGCTAACAAAGAGGAAGAATCGTTGAAGGGGTGGGTGGGTGTTTCCAAGGTCAAGCCCCCTACTAGCTCATGAGCTCTTAAGGGCAGGGGCTGTCTTTTGGCTCTTTTTGTATCTCCAGCGCTTAGCACAGTACCTGGCACACAGCAGGCACTTAATAAATGTTTAATGACTGACTGCCTCTGGCAGTCACACTGAGTCACAGGATATTAGGGCTTGAAGGACACTTAGAATAGAGTTAGAACATAGAATCTCAAAAGCCAGAAACGCCTTTAGAAATCACTGTGTCCAACCCTGTCTTTTCATAGGCAAGGGAAAGAAGGCCCAGAGATGGAGAAGTGACTTTCCCAAGGTTACACCGTTAGTGGCAGAGCAGGGACTCCAGTCTCCAGATTCCCAGCCTGGGGATTTCTTCACCACTGAAATAATGACAGTGTTCTAGGCACTGGAGGAGTGGGAAAAGGCCAGGGCAGATGACGATACAAATGGGAAGGTTCTAAACACTCAGGACAGTTAGGACGTCCTGGAGCCTTGACTCCTGACCTCAAACCCCACACCTTTCCTCCCCAGGGAAGGCTGAGAAGCAACAGAAGAGGGAGGTTAGGTCATGCCGGGAGGCAGAGGAGCCCCGCAACTCCCATCCTTTAACGAGAGAAAGGAAGAAACAGGAGAAAGGTCTGCCTTCTTACCTATCCACATGCCCCAAAAACAAGGACAGGAAGGTTACTGGGGAGAATAAAGGCAACAACAAAAACTTCCACTGGTTTCGGGACCAGGACGCCAGGTTCAAGTTCAGAAGGTGAGGGTGCCCCACCAAGAATAGTATCCATACAGAACCCTCCTGCAAGGGAGAGAGTAGCTCTGTGGTGGGCACTGCAGCATGACGAGTGGGCCTGGGTGGCAGGAGGGTCACTGACGGGCTCTGAGAGGGAGGAGCGAGGCAGGCAAACTGGGCCTTTGTCCTGAAGGGACTCATATCTGTGCGGAGAGCTAACAATGGGAGAACAGGAAGAGTCCTGACTGTCTCTACTAGAAGGAGATGTGTGGGTGCAGAGGGGAGGAAAGGAGAAAGAGACAGAAGCACCCATCAGGTGGAGGATGCCAAGCTTTGCGGTCTGTTGTTTAAAACCACAGCCCCTCCCCCCAAGTCTGTCACTGCTGGAGCTCTGACCTTCGGGGCCGGTATCTCCGCTGGCCCGTTGCTTTCCGTGTAGCCACAGCTGCAGTGAGGCCCACCAGGCAGCACAGGGATGTGGCGCTGAACTTGAGCGTGTCGAGCCAGCTGGGGGGGTCCATCTCTAAGTAGCGTTCCACCAGGTGCAGCCCCAGGACCAGAAACCACAGGAAGGAGGAAAAGGCGTCGATCCTCCGGAGTCTGTGGGATTGGGAATGGGCCAGGGTGAGTCACCATGGGCCCCCTCACCATCCACCAGGGGTTCACAGACTCCCTACCCCCCACTCTACAGTTCTCAGACCCTCTTCTACTTCCTCTTTATTGGTAGACCATACAATAGAGCCAGAAGGGACCCCAGAGGACATTTCTCCTGAGGAAATCCCGAGGCCTAGGGAGTGAAGTCACTTGCCCAGGGTCCCAGAGGGAGGAAGGAAGCCAGGAGAAGGCCTTCTGTCTCCTTACTCCCTAACCCGCAGCCCTTTCCCTGCACCCCTGTGGCTCTTCTCATTCATCTGATCAATAAAGCACTTATTAAGCATCTCCTGTGTATCAGACACAGTGAGCTTTCCTCCTTGGCTGCTCCCAGAGGAGTTGGGCTCAGAAGCAGGGTCTGCTCTACCTCAGCACAAGTCACGTAACCTCTCTTGGCCTCAGCCTCCCCGCCTGTTTAATGTGGGGGGCTGAACTAGCTGGTCTCCGGAGTCTCTTTCAGCTCCCAGTTGAAGACCCTATCTAAGGTCCTACCTTTGCAGATGGGCAGAAAAAGGACCTCTGTTAAAGAAGAGCAGATTAAAAATTAACCTGACCCGATGACCTCTCTGGATAAAAGGCCTGAGACACAAGTGGGGTTCTGAGGACCTGATAAATGGTGCTCAGAGCTGTTTTTAATCTCCCCCATTAGACTGGGAGCTCCTCGAGGGCAGGGACTGTCTCTTGCCTTTCTCTGTCTCCTCGGCACTTTGCACAGTGCCTGGCACACAGCTGTTGTTCAGTTGTTTCAGTCATGTCTATCTGATTCTCTGTAACCCTATTTGGGATTTTCTTGGCAGAGACACTGATTTGCCATTTCCTTCTCCAGCTCATTTTTCAGATGAGGAAACTGAGGCAGAGATGAAGTGACTTGTGCAGAATCACAGAGCTAGTAAGCGTCTGAGGCCAGATTGGATCTCAAGTCTTCCTGATTCCAGGCCCGACACTCTATCTACTGGGCCACCTAGCTGCTCTGGCACACAGCAGGTGCTTAATAAATGCCTGTTGACTGTTTCAAGGGTAGGCCTCAGGTAATAATGGCCGCAGGGCATTGTAGTCCATCAGCTCATTTACTTCCAGAGCTTTAAAGGTGATAACGGAGACACTGTAAACCAAATAACTATCTGGGGACTATGAGATTACACAGGGAATCCTCAAAGAGTTCCTAGGACCTGGGGCTGCTGGGATCATGCCTGACGAAAAGGTGGGACTATGCTACGTTAGCACCGAAGGGAGACGTGAGAAGCTCCCTCTGTCTTCAATGACCGCCTCCCCTCCTCCTCCCTCCCCCGATGATGCAGCCCATCTGGTCTTTTCTCTTCTGACACGCTGGTGTCTTGGCCATCCCACAGGCCTGGGGTGTACTTCCTCCTCACCAAGTCTCTCCTCCCCCTCCCAAACGACCTTGTATTTAATTTGCATATATTTGTACTGCTCCCAACTTCCCTCTCTGATTGGAGGAGACAGAGTCTTTGCTGCATTTCCTAATGAGAAGAAGCCTGCTTTCTCTGAGAGCCAACTGGATGAAGGTGAATTCCCTGCTACTCGAAGAGCTGATTGGGGAAAGGAGGAGAAACTCCTTAGGGCCCCCCAAAAGAGCTGAGGTCCTTGTCAGTTCTCTGATTTTGGGGGGGACTGTCTGCCCCTGAAAGAGAGTAACACCTCATCATCTTGCCATGGGTGGCAGAGTTTATCATTGTTTAGTGGTCTGGGAGTAACATGGAAGGTGATGAATGTAGCAGACTCTAGGTATCCTGGACATTAAAACCGGCCTTCTAGTCACCAACTGCTTCAGGCACATGGGCTTCCCTACTCATTTTCTCCCTTGTTAGGTTTCTCTGTGTGTCCACTATCTCCATGGATACTGCGTGCCTTGGTGGAAGGCTGTGATCCAGGTCTATGAGTAAATTTCTCTATTTTGATTATTCCTTCTCTTAAGTAAATGTTCTGATTATTATTGCTCTTGCTTTATCATCAAGTAAATGTTTTATGTTTAAGAATTAATGGTATTAAGAGTGTTCAAAAAAAAGAGCCAATGGTGTCATGGTGACAGGTTTCTTATAAATGGGAAGCACACCAGTGGGGGCTCAGAAGCTACACCACCAGTTAGCATGAGTTAGCCCTTCCACACACCTCAGATTCTGAGAGAGTTTTAGTTTTACCTTTGGAGCCATGGCCATTGTAGGGCCCTCTCTGGGGAAAAAAACTCAGACAACATGAGGGCTGATTTAGGTAAGTGAGCCAGCTCAAAGAGAGAAAAGGGAGGTACAGGTGACTAGCTGAATATCAAGCCCATCGGCTACACTGTGTGAGGTTACTACGGTGAGTGTCAGAAGCGAGATGTTAACCCAAGTTTTCCTGATGCCAAGCCCTGAAGTTAGGCAAGATGATAACTTAATTCTATGTTCCCTATGAGCCACAGCAAACCCCCCTACCTTCCTTCCCAGAGGCCCTGGCACCCACCTGATGCGTCCAGCCAGCAGCATGGCCAGAAGGCAGGCGAGGAGGCCCAACGCCACCACCACCACCTGGTGGCTCTGGCCCAAGTCCCAGGCCTCACAAAGCTTCTCCAACACATGCTCGGGAAGCAGGTGGAGCAGCTGCTGCCAGCCCAGGGCCCCCGCATCAGCAGTGGTGTTGGATGAGGCCGAGGTCCCCGGGGAAGAGACGTTTCCCCCCGCCAGCAGAGCAGGGGTCCAGGAGGCAGCTGGGGAGAAGGGATGGCCAGAGCCGGACAGGGCAGTGACAAGCAGGAAGCTGCAGATCAGGAAGGCCAGGAAGCGAAGGAGGATGACCTGGGCTGGAGCAGTCACTGGTGAAGAACAGAAGCTCTAAGGAAGAGAAAAGGAAAAGAACTGAGGACTCACGCACCGTGTCTGGGGGCCAGAGTCTAGGGCACAACTTCCAAGAGCTCACTGGGGGGCCCAGGTCCAGAAGATGTGGAGGAGGGGGAGGGCAGGAGGCCCACATAGCACCCAGGAGTCTCAGGGCTCTCCTAGAGGGGCATGATTCACACAGTGAACTCCCATTCTCTCCCTCTGTCTGTGGGAGGCGTGACTCTCCAGGGGGCAGGGCCTGCAGGGTTAGCTTCTATAACTCTACCTGATCACACTCTAGCTAGCAAATAGGGAGGAGGGGGAGGGAGAGAAAAAGGGGTTTATCAAGAAGAGACTTAGCTCCTACTCACAAAATCTGAACTGGAAGAGATTTTAGAGGCCAACCCCCTCATTCTACAGATGGGGAAACTGAGGCCCAAAGAAGGGAAGAGACTTGCTTAAGGTCATAAGGGTAGTTAAGTGGCTAGGATCTGAACCCTGGTCCCAACTGCAAAATCAGTACTCTGTCCCACTAAGCCTTCCTACTCAGAAATGTCTTTTTGTGGCTTCATAAGCTCACCCTGTAGCGTTTCCCAACTCCAGCCCCTGCCCTTTGGAGCTTTGGCAATGGGATTTTACTCATCCTTTATTCAAAACTTCTGAAATCTAAGCAGTCTGTACTAAATCAGCTACACATGCTTGTGTGAGATGTATGACCTCCTCACACCTCAGTTTTCCTACACAAAAAATGGGAATGCATTGGGTACATTACAGCAGAGGTGTCAACCACTAGGCCCACACTCCAACAAGATTAAAACATCATGGGGAAATGTTTAATGTTTGTTTGCCTCAGTTTCTTCAACAGTAAAATGGGAATAACAGTACCTCTCTCACAGCATTATTATGAGGATCAAATAAAAGAATATCTGTACAGCGCTCAACACAGTGCCAGGCACGCAGCCGCCGCCACACAAAGGCTCATTCCCCTTTTCTAAGTCCATCCTCACAGGGACCCTCAGCATGGTTTCGTAGCCGCTGTTTGTCTTTGACTTCGACACCACTACATTATAGGATGGAACAGATAGGGGGCGCTATTGTGCAGAGCGCACCAGGCCTCGAGTCAGTGCAAATCCTGAGTTCAAATCCAGCCTCAGACACTTGTTAGCTGTGTGACCCTGGGCAAGCCACTTCACCCTCCCTGTCTCCTCGGTGAACTGGAGAAGGACCTGGCAAACCACTCCAGGATCTTTGCCAAGACAACCCCGATGGGGTCACATCATCAGACAGGACTGAAATGACTGAAAAACAACGTCATGGGTGACACAGGTCTCAGCGGGCTAGTGTGGGAACCCAACCGTCATTATTAATGCTGCTATGGGGAAACCCCTCTTGAATGACCCCCTTATGAGTGAAGTGGGGCACCAGCAGCACTCGAGCGGCTGTCGAGCGCCCGGAGCCCTTCCTCCTCTACCTGCACGTAGGTCTTGTCTGTCTCGCGCCGCCTAAACTGGTGGCTGAGCAGCAGAGCCCGCAGCTGCCGGTTCTGGTGTTTGATGTAGTACTCCACAGCTGCCTGGCAGGGCCGGCACAGCTTGTACATCTGCTCCAGATGGTGTCTGTAGACTTCAATCTCCTCATCATATTTACCCTGTTGAGAACAGAGGCTTTGGATTGGGGAGGGAAACACTGAGGTGGCGCGCCACACTCTGCCTACTGGCACTCTATGGGGAGGAGAGGAGAGCAAGCTGGAGGAAGGAATACGGAAGGAGAGGAAGGGAGAGAAGAGAGGAAGGCAGAGAGCTCAGGTGCACTCAGGCTGTCGTGCTTCGTCCCAGATGTTGCCCTGGAGGGTCCAACTGCAAACTCTCAAACCTGGGAGGGACCTCAAGGGCTCTCGTGGCATAGTGGAAAAAGCCCTAGCTCTGATATCAGCGGACCTGCGTTCAAATACTACTTCTGATGCTGACTGCTTACGTGACTTTGGTCAATTCACCTGACCTCCCTGGGCCTTGGCTTTCTCAATCTGTAAAATGAAGGAGTTGGATGGACGTGACAGCCTTTGATGATCCTTGCAGGCCAAAACTCAATGATCCACCTAGGTCAGTCCATACTTGAATATGCACGCTTTTTAATGATGTTCTTGCAAAACTGAGGAGCTGATTTTTTTTGGAAAAAAAAAATATATATGTGTATATATGTATATATATATATATATATATATATATATGTAAAATGGACAAGTCATTAGCTAATTTGATTTTGAAAAATAAGAAAACCAAATGACCAGTATCAAAAATGAAAATGGTGAATTCACAACCAATAAAGAAGAAATAAAAGCCATCATTAGAAGCTATTTTGTCCAATTATATGCCAATAAAACTGACAATCTAAATGAAGTGAATGAATATTTACAAAAATATAAATTACTCACATTAATATAACAGTAAAGAGAATATTTAAATAACCTGATCTTAGAAAAAGACACTGAATGAGTCATAAGTGAACTCCAAAAGAAAAAACCCCCAGGATCAAATGGATTTCCAAATGAATTCTACCAAGCATTTAAAGAACAATTAATTCCAATACTAAAGAAACTTTAGGAAAATAAGGAGTCCTACCAAATTCCTTCTTCGACACAATATAGCCTTGATACCTGACCCAAATAGAGTCAAAACAGAGAAAAAAACTATAGACCAATTTCATTAATGAATACGGATGCAAAAACGTTAAAGGAAAGATTAGCCAGGAGATTACAGCAACTTGTCCCAAAGATTATACACTATGACCAGGCTGGATTTATAACAGGAATGTGAGATTGGTTTAATATTAAGAAATAAGAATAACTCACCATCTTAATAACAAACCAACAAAAATCATGATTCTTTCAATAGATACAGAAAAGGCTTGGACAAAACACGACACACATTCCTGTTAAAAACACCAGGAAGCCTCACAGTAAATGGTGCTTTCCTTAAAATGCTAGATAGTATCGACCTGCAATGTCCTTGCCCCAGGGACCCCCGCAGCCATCCCGGGGAAGGTCTGCAGGGAGGACAGGCCAGCCCTGACTGGTGAGCTGCTGCTGACATCAAGTCAATGTCTGCCTCTCTGTAACTTCCACCCACTGTTCCCAACAAGGCCAAGTCCCTTCATGAGACAGCTAGGCCGTTCTTCATGCCCCCAATTTCTTTTCTTCTCTTCTCTAGCCCCAGTGACTTCCACTGATCCTCATGTGACACGGGCTTGAGAAGCCTTTAATGATGATGATGGTGATGTTACATATATAGTGCGTAAAGGTTAGCCAAGCGCTTTATCAACGTTATCTCATGTGATTCCTCCCAACAACCCTGTAAGGCAGGTGCTACTATTTTCATTTCACAGGTGAGACCTCTGAGACTGAGGAAGGTTAACTAACCTGCCCCAGGCTACACAGCTAGATGGATGTGAGAGGCAGGATTCGAACACAGGTCTTCTTGACTCCCCCACTCCATCTGCTGCATCCCCTAGCTGGCATAACGTCTCTGGACGAGCCACAAGACACCCCGCGGGGGCTTGCAGCTCCTCCCAAGTGGCTTTATCATTGTCTCCCTTGCCCCCACATGGCTTAAAAAGGTTGTGCCTAAGTGATGGTGCCATGAACAAACAGCTCAGTCTCAGAAGAAAGGATGAGGGTGGCTACAGGCCTGCAGGAGGGAGCCTCACACACGGGACGTCTGTCCTACCTCAGAGGACACTGAGACACAGGGAGCCACTTTTGCCCCTGCTCAGGGAAGGGCTTAAAGGCATCAGTCAATCGCCTCCCCCGACATGGGTGGCTTTCCATCCTCCGCTCAATGACCTCTACCACTCTCATCTCTGGTCTGTCCTTCCCTCTCCCTCCTCAGAGACGTCATCGGCAGCTCTCAGGAGGGCCAGCCTGGCTGGGCCCGTTAGGGCCCCTGTGGTGGCTTGGCCCATCCCATGTACCTCACCGGGGTGCGGAGAGCTTTGAGCATCAGTTCTTCCTCCCCCCCTTCCCCAGGCTCAGCAATCTCTCCTGCCACAGAGACGCGTGGCACAGCTCCATCTCCCTGGGAGCCTCCCCCCTGCTAGTGCCACACTCCAGTCTAGAGTTCCAGGGTTTCGGCCTAGGGATGGCTGCTGCGCACGAGCAGCGGGCAGCCCTGGGTAAATGCTGGCTGAGGGCAACTCCCAGGTGCAAACCAAGCAAGGATTCCCAGGTGAGGACTGGCTGGAGGAAACAGGAATGTTCAGCCTGAAGGAGAAAAGCCTCAGGGGCACAAGGCAGCTGTCAGCAAGCATCTGATGGGCTGTCGGGTATGAGGGATTCGACTCAGGACCCTCGATTTAAAGCTGGAAAGGACCTCAGGACATCTAGGCCAACTTCCTCATTTTACAGATGAAGAAACTGAGGTGCACAGAAGTTAGGTGACTGGCCCAGGATCACACAGCCAGCGAGCGGCAGAGCTGGATTCAAGCTCAGGTCCTCTGACAATAAATCCAGCTTCCTTTCTATTTCTCTGCCCAGGCTTTGCATTCCTCCTAGCCACAGAGCACAAACTAGGAGGTGGAAGAGATGGTTAGCACTATGCAAGAGGGCACTGGGCAGCCTGGGGAGCTGGCGGGCTCCCCTCCTCAGGCACCAGCAAGACGTGGCTGGACAAACACTGGCTGGGCGCAGTATGGCGGGGACTGCTTCCTGCCATATAAGCTGGACTGGACGGTGCCTGCCAGCTCTACAATTCAATGATGTCTTCAAGCAAGCAGGAGACAGCTGTTTACTGGTCGACGTGTTGTCTCCCTCCGTTACGTGAGCTCCCTGAGGGCGGGCATTGTCTTCTGCCTTTCTCTGTATGCCCAGCGATCACATTAAGCACCTGGCACACATAGTAGGCGTTTAATAAATGTTTGAAGACTGACTGAATGTTGGAAATGATGGAGCGGGGATTCTGGCACAGGTTGGACCAGAGGGCCTCTGGCCTTCCCTCCAGCCTTCAGATTCTGTGGTCCTCCAAGTCTGATGGAGATAGCCAAGTGAGTGGCTCCTCTGACCCCTGAAGCAGTGGTAGGGAGAAGCAGGAAGGAATAAGGAAGCGCATAGTACAAGGAGCTGACTGGTTATTGGTCAAGACGGCTCCGTCAGTCAGTCAATCAATATTTATTAAGCACCTACCACGTGCCAGGTCCTGTCCTAAGACCTGGGATGCAAAGAAAGGCCAAAGACAGCCCCTGCTCTGAAGGAGCTCCCAGTCCAATGGGGTGACCGTATGCAAACTACAGACAAGCTACAGATGGGGCGGACTGGAAATCATCAACACGAAAAGGCCCTGGGATTAAGGGACCTGGCAAAGGCTTCCTGGAGGAGGTGGAATTTAGCTGGGCACCCATGAAGCACCCATGTTTTTCTCTTTTAGTGTTGGCCTCGGAGCTGAGATGGCCTGGGTTCAAATTCTGCCTCTGACCCTATTAACTGTATGAGCGTGAGCAAGAGACTCGACCTCTGAACTTTAGTCTCCTCATCTGTAAAATGGGGATAATCACAGCTCTGATGCCTGGTTTGCCAAGTCTGAAAGTACTCTGCAAATGCCAGTTACTCTAGTTGCAGTCACAGTTGTCCTTACTTGGTTCCTAGAAAACCCCTTGGCCACACTCTGGGCTCCCTCTCCTGGCCACAAGGTGGCCCTCCTCCCAGAGTCATCCATCAGCCAAGGAGCACTGGCTAAGCCCCTGCTGTGTTGGGCACTGTGCTGGGGGCTGGGGACACACAAACAAAAGCAGGCAGCCCTGCCCTGCTCCTTTCCGGCACCTTTCTGGCACCGGCCAGGCCTGGGAGGCCAAACCTCTGTCTGCTCCCTCCTCCCTTTCCCTGGAATCACAAGGCTACGTCCCCCACGGGCCTGGGCGGGGGGTGTGACAAACAATTCAGGACTGGCCAGGCCAGAAGGCTGCACCCTTTCCCAGGCCCTACTGGGGGCAGGCTCCAGGGGAGCACAGATCCTGAGCCTTCCCCAGTCACAGGGGCTCACTGGCCTTGGAACCTGAAGCTCCCACTCCCCCCAACCCCCAGCTCTGAAACAAAAGCCACTTTGTGTCTGGGAGGGAGGAGGGCCTCGGGTGAGTGCCTGCCTGGTTACCATGGCACCCTGCTCCCAGCAGCAGCCTGATGCTGGTACGAACCAGTTACCTGCAGGATGTGGGGAGGGAGGGGAGGCCGATGCAGAAATAGCACAGCCAGTCATGTCGGGGCAGGCAAGGCAGGGGAGACCTGCTGCTCGGCCCAGAAAGGCCCTAAGATGATCGATTTGGGGCCCCGAGAGACCTCAGAGGCATCTAATGAATGTCGTCATTTTACAGATGGAGAAACTAAGGCCAGAGAGGTTAACATACAGGGTGTGTGAATGCAGATCCTGACTCCAAAGCCAGCACTTTCTCCACTATTGTCAGAGTACAGAGAGAGGGATGGGGATGGGAAAGGAGGAAGCATTTATACAGGGCCTACTGTGTGCCAGTTTCATAAGTATCTCCTCTGATCCTCACAACAATTCTGGGAGGTAGGGGCTGTTGTTAACCCCATTTTACAGATGAGGAAATTTGAGGTAAGCAGGGGTTAAATTGACTTGCTCAGAGTTCCAGGAAGTGTCCAAGGCTGGATTTGAACTCGTCTTCCTGCCTCCAGGCCCAGCCACCAGCAGCCTCTGGTGAACCCACTGCAATCTAAGACAGGCATGTGGAGAAGGCAAGAGGGAAGAGTCCAGGAACTGGGGATGAAAGGGCTGCGACCAGCTCACCTTGACCAATAAAAAAACCTTTGTCCAGGGGCTAGAGAGAATGGCATGCCAAAGAGCCAGCCCCACCCAGCTGGCGGCTCCATCTCACCTCCTCCCGGGGGGCGAAGGATGCCAGCTGCTTGATCTTGGTCGTCTGATGGTTGTTACATTTCTTACACAGCAGGACCTGGCTGCTGACCCATTGCTGGGGCTGGGGGCTGTCACAGAAGGGCGCGGCACTGGTCACCACATGGTTCAGGTGCTCCAGGTACTGGGCAGGGATGGGCTTGTTGTAGTCACCGTTCTGTGGGGGAAGGGGAGACGAGACACAGTCAAGGGTGGCAGCGCATCTCCTTCCCCTGCCCTCGGCAGGGTCCGGTCCTGTCCTGTTCCCAAAGAGCTTATCATCTACAGGGGGACACAAGGCAGAACCCGGTAAGGACACGCATGACAACTGGAGAGGACCTGAGCCACAGGGAACCACAGGGGCATCTCATCCAATCTCCTCATCTCACAGATGAAGAAAGTGAGTCCAAAGCCCGCAAAGGATCCACTCCACCTCCCAAGAAAGGATGTGTCACTGGGGGTGCTCGCAGCTGGGGACACGAGAGCCAGGCCTCTCGAAGATTGGCCATTCTGAAACACGGGTGAGGGGGACACATCGGGTTTACAGGCAAACAGCCAGGGCAAAAGTGTGGAGACAGGAGATGAAGAGAGGGTTGGGTCTGAGGAACAGCTGGGGGCCAGTGTACGCACAGAGAGCAGAGTGGGATGGAAGAAGAGAGAAGAAGTGGACCTGGGGCCCAAACCCACCTGAGCAAAGGGAGAGGCCTCATCTGCCCGGCCCAACCCACGTGCAAAGGTACAAGGCTCAGCACCCTCCAGGGGCTTATGTTCTGAGACAGGTGGGCAAAAGACAGGGGTGCAGGCAAATGCTGATGAGGCGAAGGGCAAGATGGGACAGGGAGGCACAGTAAATAAAGGGAGGGGGAGGCAGAAAGAGAGACAGAGAAAGATGGAGACAGAGGCAGAGAGACAGCAAGCCAGAGACAGAGGGAGATCATTTTCAGGGGTGTGTGGGGGGAGGAGAAACTGAGGTGTCTTGGGTGAGGTGGCCCCTGAAATGAGCAATGAAAGGAGGGACTGCAGTAGGTGGAAGTGCAGTAAATGTGGAAATGACTGACTTTGGGACCCTTCCTCAGGAAGGCACTAGGCACAGGAAATGGCACAGAAAGGGAGGATGAGGCTCAAGGCAGCAGGAATGTGTTTTTGAAACCAGATGGTGAAGCCTTTTATCTGAAAGGCAATAGGGAGCCACTGAATATCTTTGAGCACGGGAGGGACACGGTTCTGGCATCCCTGGGATGCATGGAATGGGAGTCTGGCCAGGTGAGAGGTGATAGCGGCCTGAATCTGGGTGGGGGCAAAGAAGAGGGGACAGATGCGAGAGATACTGGGGAGGCGGTCAACAGAGGAGGAAGGAATGGAAATGAGAGAACATCCCTCAGTTGGGAGGAGGCAGGCGCCAACTTTATTCCTGCAGATTCCAAGCCAGCCATCTGTTGTGGGAGAGAGCAGGCAGGGCAATCACACTCATCCCAAGAGAGCGGAGGCTGGGGTGCTGGTGGCAGGAGGTGGAGACGAGAATTAAGGGCCCTACCTCCCACAGGAAGCAATACCCATCCAAGGATCTGACTCCATTAACTGGGAGACAGCAATCAACCACTCATCTAGCATTCATGAAGCGTCTGCTGTGTGCCGGGCTGTGCTGAGGGCCGTCCCTGTCCTCAGGAAGCTTAGGTTCTAATCACAGACGCAATCCGCATGCGGTAAGCAGAGTCCTACCCTCCCCCCTGGAGCTGCAGTGGACAGAGATTCTGCTCCCCGAGGGCCTCGCTCCCCAGCCCTACCTCCTGGAAGCCATTGTACTGTTCACAGTTGGGGCAGTCCCAGCAGTTCCGGTTCCCGTAGGGCACCACGGTGTCCTGATTACAGAACCAGCAGTTAACAGTTGTGTGTGTCGGCTTTTTCCTAAACACAAAAAAGAGAGAGTAATCAGTGGTGGAGCAAGCAATACCCAGGGAGCAACTTCTCTGAACCTCAGTTTTCCCGACCTATAGAATGGGGGCAAACCCATCAGCCCAGGTCTAAGAGTGCAGAATTTGGAGTTCGAGGACCTAAGTTTGCATTCTGGCTCTGAAGCTGACCACCTGGACACGCTGCTTCATCTCTCTGGGCCTCGGCTTCCTCTTCTGTCAGAGAGAGCTCTCCACCAATGATACGATGATGTCCTTGTTCAGATGTAAGAACATTTCAGGGAGGAAAAACGGGGGGAGCTTGAAGGCAGGTGGCCAGGTAACAGCTCCTGGGACACGGCTCCAGAATGAAGGAAGAGGCCTCCCTGGAGGAGGAGAGGGGCCTCTCTAGCAGCTCTTTCCCAACAAGTGGCTCGGCCACTTCCCGACCGAGATGGTCTGGGGCCCAGGCTGCAGGCCCAGGAGAGCACCGAGGGAGACTGGAGGAAATGCAAAGGGAAGACTCACCCTCTTCTGATCCCTAAACTCTGCCAGATCCTCATGACACCCTGGAGCCTCCAGAAGCCTGGGTCTGGCTGCTCAGACATGCTCACTGAGTCCTGCACAAGACCCGCCGCAGGGAGGGGGCCCGGCCACCTCCCCACGCTTTGGAAGCACAGCCTGGGGGAGTTTTCCTAACGCTGTGGGCTGAAGGAAACAGCACTGCTTGGTGCAAAAAACAAGTGAAATAAATACAAGAGTCCAGCCCAAGGCTGCTGGACAGCTGTCCTAACCTGACAGCAAGGCCTCCCACTGCTTCACTACCCATTGGTCAGTCCCCTTGTCATGCACGCGTGTGTGACAGGTGGGTGACCACCAGATAATCCCAAACCCAGACACTGGGGGATCTGTGCTAGGGCGACACCAGCTGCTCAGCCTCAATGCTGGTGGGCTCAACTGGGGCCAGAAGGAAGGGCAACTGGACGGACACATTCTCAGCTCTGGAAGCCTAAAAATAATACAATCATTCTTTACATCAATTTTGCACAAGGAATTCTGGGACTGGCTCCTCTCCCTCCAACCCTCTGCCGCAAGGGGGAGTTCTGTGTGAATACTGGTCTATGCTGGGTGCCTGGCACATAGTGGGTGCTTAATAAATGACCCCAGGGTCAGGTCTGGTTTCTTGCCGCTAGGTGGGCAGAAGACAAATTGGCCCAATACTCCTGGCAGACAATGGGTGCCCTGGTCTCCGAGCTGCAACTGGAGGAGGCCAAAGTCCATTTGCCATCTGCTGCACGGCTAAAGCTTGGAGGAAAAATGGCAGTCAGCAGCATGGCCTTGGAGGTAGAAGGAATAAGCATTTATGTAGAGATTTAGAGATGTCCCTCTTGTCCTCTTTCCCCAAATAAGCAGCTAGATAGAACAGTGAGTGGGTAGAGCTCTGGGCATGGAGTCAAGAAGATCTGAGTTCAAATTTGACCTCAGACTGTGGAGGCTGTGAACAAGGGAAGGGAAGGAGTCCCCAACCTGCTCCAGGAATTCCTAGGAGACAGGTGGATTCCATTTTTAACACCAGCCCTTTCTGATTCCCTAGAGGGCACTTCCAGGCAAGAAGGTACAGGCCTCTCTGCCAGACGCCCTCTGCACCCAGGAACTCTACTCTGTGCCCGTGCTTTTTATAAATAGTCTCTCATGTGATCCTCAGAACAATCCTGGGAGCTCAGTGCTATGAATGTATCATTCCTATTTTCAGATGAGCAAACTGAGGCAGGCAGAGGTGAAGTGACTTGCCCACAGTCACAAAACCAGTCTGAGGTCAAATTTGAACTCAGATCTTCTTGACTCCATGCCCAGAGCTCTACCCACTCACTGTTCTATCTAGCTGCTTATTTGGGGAAAGAGGACAAGAGGGACATACTTGGCCAGCTCTCATAGGATCAGATTTTGAGACTGAAGAGATGACCTTTGAGGCCATTCTGCAGATAAGGAAACTGAGGCCCGGAGATATGAAATAACTTGGCCATACATATGCATAGCTGGTACACCTGAAGTAAGATTTGAACTCAGGAAGACCTGACTTCATGTCCAGTTCTCTTATCTACTATGCAATGTAGAATACATTTTAAGCACTCTAAATGGGGAGACACTGAGGGCAGCTAGGGGGCAAGCAAAGAGAATATCTGGCCTGGGGTCAAGAAGACTCATCCTCCTGAGTTCAAATCCAGCCTTAGACACTTACTAGTTGTATGACCATACATTTAAGCCTGTTTGCCTCAGTTTCCTCATTTGTAAAATGAGCTGGAGAAGGAAATGGCAAACCACCTAGTATCTTTGCCAAGAAAACCCCAAATGGGGTCACGAAGAGTTGGACACAACTGAAAATGACAGAACACCAATAAATTCTGACTGACTGATCCTTGTGGGTCAGGAGTCCCAGAATCAGGCAGAGATGGGGTATTGCTGGATTCTGCCAAAGACAACCCACACTTCTAAATATCAGCATCTTCTCCCGCCAATTCCTCTTTCTACAGGTTGGGTTTTTTTTGGCAGGGGGGTGCACACAGACTTGGTTTTTCATTGGTTTAGAAAAACTCCAGGAAACTCCCTTTACAATGCAAATCAGGACCTGCTCCGAAGTTTTTAATCTTACAGAGCTTCCTGAGGTCCAGATACTGTGGGTCAGAGATGGGACTTGAACCCCAGTCTTTCTGCCTCTAATTCACTTCATCTCAAAGCCTTCAGCCCATAATCCAATTCCATTTGCTTAGAGAGGCAGGCTTTATATCGTCTACAAAACCCAAATGAAATAGTCCCTGCTCTCAGAGAGCTCCCCATCTACTAGGGAGAAACAACCAACACATCGATAAGAACATAACAAATACCTACAAAGAATGAAGGAAGGTGAGAAGGAATCACAGACAGGCAGGACAGCTTTGAAGGTCACACTTCAGCAGAAAAGCAAACTGAACCTGCGAGCATTATCATTTCATGTACCATCTATCCTTTTTTGTCCCGTCCCACCATATGGATGGAAATGCTCGTTTTATTGGGGGTTTAAGTTGAGAACAAAACATTTACAATATGGAAAAAGCAAATACAAAATAATTCGGGGAGGGGAGAGAGACCTGGGCGGTACCTCCAGCACAAGACGGTGCCAGAGCAGGGCCTTGAGGGAAACTGGGCATCCTCCTATCCGGACAGGGGGAAGGTAAACTCCTGGAGAGGCAGGGACTTTGCTCTGTATCACCAGCATCCATCACAAGGACTAGCAGGTAATGGGTACCTAAGCAGGTGCTATTATTATCCCCATTTTGCAGATGAGCAAACTAAAGCAGAGGTGAAGTGACTTACCCAGGGTCACACAGCCAGTCTGAGCCCAAATGTGAACTCAGAGCTTCCCAACTCCAAGACCAGTGCTCTGTATACTGTGGCTCCCCTGCTGCCTGACAGCACCTCCTTCCCAGGGGTGTTGGGAGGATCCAATGACATTATATTTGATACGCACTCAGCACAGTACCTGGAACTCGGCAGACCCTCTATAAACGCTCTTCACCCCCCTTCTGGATGATCATCGGGCAGTGTGGACATCAGTGAGGACGCACTTCCTTTACTCAGTTATCACCATTTTCTCTACCGTTGTCTTTGTGGGTATGAAACCTAAATCTCTAATTAGATTATAAATTCCCTGAAGACAGATACAAATCTCAGCTTTTCCAAGGGTCTGGTGTTTCTCCCACAGCTCCAAGCACCTGGCACAGGCCTCCAGGCAGAGGAGGTGCTCAGCCGTTGACTGCCTCCCACGTATCCTTTGTCCTCCCCACCCCAAGGACACCTCTTTTTAACCACTGCACAGGCTGGTGCATTCCACAGCTGTCTCTTCCCTATTCCAGAAGCACCTCTACGTGCCCACCCCCTCCCTTTCACCTGCCAGCAAAAACCCAAATCTGACCGGCTCGTGAACAAATACAAGAGAGGACAGAAGAGCCAGGAGACCTCTCCCAAGAGCTGAGGATGATTCATGAGCAGACAATCCTGGGGCTGGAGCTCTCCTTGCTCTGAGAAATCCAGCCAGGTCTCTGTCCAACACAGGCTCCCCATTAATTCTGCAGGCACAGCCTATCTGGTACTGTGGGGTGTCCAAGCCCTGAGCTTCTGCTCCTCACCTCCAAATTTCACAAAATGATGCAGAGGCTGGCTGTGAACAAGGGAAGGGAAGGAGTCCCCAACCTGCTCCAGGAATTCCTAGGAGACAGGTGGATTCCATTTTTAACACCAGCCCTTTCTGATTCCCTAGAGGGCACTTCCAGGCAAGAAGGTACAGGCCTCTCTGCCAGACGCCCTCTGCACCCAGGAATCTCCCAAGGACCCCGAATGTTGGTGGCCCATCTGGGAAGTGACAGCGTCCACCAGCTCTAAACCTTTGGCCCCAGCACATGCCCTTGGGGCTTCTTCCAAGGTGAGATAAGAGCCAGCCTCCGGGAACTTCAGGCCTGGTGGAGACATCTCCTACACAGGATCAGAGGTTCTGAGCAAAGGCTCTGAATCCGGGGCCCACAAACTTGTTTTTGGTTCCTTCTGTAACCTTTTGTATTTTACTTTATGCATTTAAAAACATCACTCTGAGAAGGGAAACCCAGCACCTCCAAGGTCTAGGGGTAGTCATTCAATTCAGCCCTCTCACTTTAAAATAAAAAATGTATTATCAAGGGCTTAGTCTCTCCCTCACTCTGGAACAACAGAAAGGGACTTCTGCTGATGAGGCCCTGGCCAGTCTAACACCCTGGCCTGGTCTCTGCTGCTTAGAGTCCAATAATTCACGTTCTTTATTATTATTTTAACACAGCAACACAGCAGCCAGCTTTCTCCCTGCCAGGGACCTAAGGCTCCTGCCACACTCGTCAGCACCGGGGTGCAGGCTCATTTCATGAGCCGCGGGATGAGACAAAAAGCAATGTTCTTTCTGCCTTCCACCCCACAGGGCCCTCCTACCTTGCACAGGCTTTCCAAAGAACAAAC